TATTTACAATAGTCGATAAGATGTACAAGTTTGCATTTTACTCTGGATTAGAGAGGTGGACCTGGAAGCCATCAACATACAACTTGAGACACAAAAGTGGATAAGCTTCTGCAGTAAACAAGTGAAGAATAAGAAATAAGAAAGCCTAGGAGAGGACTCCAATAAACAATAAAATTTTAAGAACAGCAGATGAAAAACTGGCTGCAAATGAAACTACAGAATTTCCAGAAGAGTTGTTGTTGTTGTTGTTGTTGTTATTTGCCATCGAGTCGGCCCTGACTCATAGCGACCCCTCCTTGGGTTTCCGAGGCAGTATCACTACGGAAGTAGGAATGCCCAACCTTCCTTCCGAGGAGTGGCTGGTGGGTTTGAACTGCCAGCCTTCTGGTTAGCAGTCAAGTGCCTTAGGCACTATGCTACCAGAGTAGGAATTATAAAAAACAAATTAAGAGACTGTCTCTAGAAGGAACTGTCCCAGGGGCTGCAGATGGTCAAATTTATACAAAGATTGGCCTCAATGTTAGGATGACCTTGGCAAGAGCAATTTTTGTAGAAGATGGATCAGAAGCCAGATAGCAAAGTGTGCATTGGGCTAAGGTGCAAGCAGGAGGTAAAAAATAGAGGCAGTAAGTGCACATACCTCTTGAAAAAAAATTTTCATGGTGAAAAAAAAGGAGAGAAATAAAAGTAACAAGAGGTAGCGAATTCAAGCACATCTTTCTTTTCATTTTTTTGAAAAAGAAGGAGACAGACACAGTAGGAGGAGGGAGGTATGGCATTAACAGCCTCAGGGAGATTTGAACATGTTTAAGTGGTAAAGGGAAGAAGATGGAAAGAAGAAGTCAGCAGCTGTCAGCAGCACCCGGAGCTTGGAGTTCAACTGTGGGCTCTGACGGCTCTGACACTGAACAACAAACTCAACACATGACATGACTGGCCCCAGATAAACCTTAGTGCTCAGTCCCAGGCAAGTTAGTCAGAGGCAAGCCTTTTTTTGTCTTTGTTTTGTTTTGTTTTTCCTGCAGTTTGTCAAAAAAAGTTTATAGGTATTAGTTTCCTTTTGTAAATTTCCATTCCATTTGCCATTCTGGAAAAGGGGCAATAACAGTTTTAATTACTGGAGAGCCTCATTGAACAAAGGGACAGTATAGATGCACACAAAGCTGAGTTTTAATTAGCTCTCAAGTCATACACATTGATGCCAAGAAATCTTATAATTGGATCATCTGTATTAATTGACACGATGGCGGTGAGTTTGGTTTTTTTTTTTTTTTTGGCAGTGAGGTTTTGTTTGTTTTATTAATTTATAAAACTCTAAGTTTGCAGGGGTGGGAATGGGAGGATATTTCATCACCTTACCATGCCCTCATCCCCAAAACAACTTTTGAGTTTGTGGTTAAGGGGTAAGACAAGATCTTCCTGTTGGCTAGTGTCACTCACTTGGGAAAAGGTCCCAGAATCCATGCTTAAGCAGACAAAGTACCTAAGAAACGCCTAAAGCCCACTGGGTTATCCTCTGAATTAGAATGCAACAGACATGGATTTTTCAAGGTGCTAGAATGGGCTTTAAATAAGAGCTAACCCAATCACCTCTTTTTACATGTGAGGAATTGGAGGTTCCTGGGCAAGTCTTCAGATATCCTCTCCCACTTATCCTTCTACCTGTGAGATAGCTGATTTACAGCTGAGAGAAGCCAGGTCACCAGCACAAACTTAGAAATACACTAAGAAAATGGAGGATAGCTAAGTCCTGGTTAATGGCGGAATAAAACCAAAAAAATCAAACTCACTGCTGTCAAGTCAGATCTGACTCATAGTGATCCCTCCTTGGGTTTCCAAGGCAGTACTATGGAAGTAGATTGCCCAACTTTCCTTCCGAGGAGTGGCTGGTGGGTTTGAACTGCCAGCCTTCTGGTTAGCAGTCAAATGCCTTAGGCACTACACCACCAGAGCTCCCAATGGGAGAAATAAGCCTCCCTCTTGGTGGAATGGGAGCTCTGGTTGCACAGTGGTTAGAGCATTCAGATGCTAACCAAAAAGTCAATGGTTCCAATCCACCAGTTGTTCTGCAAGAAAAAGGTGAGGCAGTCTGCTTCCATAACGATTTACAGCCTTGGAAACGCTACAATAGGGCAGTTCTACTCTGTCCTAAATTGTTACTATGAGTCTGAATCAACTCGATGGCAGTGGGTTTGGATTTTTAGTTTTTTGGTTTTAGGTAGAATAAAGAGTTGCTAAAAAGGAGCTCTGGTGGTGCAGTGCCTAACGCATTTGACTGCTGACCAGAAGGTTGTTGGTTCAAACCCATCAGCCACTCTGCAGAAGGAAGATAGGGCGATCTACCTCCATAAATATTTGCTGCCTCAGAAACCCAATGGGGAGCACTATGAGTTGAATCCATCTGGATGGCAGTGAGCTTGGCTTTTTGGATATGGTGCAAATTGTTAAATGGCTATTAACTAAAAGGTTAGTGATTCAAATCCAACCTGCGGTGCCTTGGAAGAAAGACCTGGAGTTCTACTTCTGAAAGATCACAGCCATTGAAAACCTATGGAGCACATGTCTACTGTGACACACATGGCATTGCCATGAGTCTGAGTCCACTCAATCGCTACTGGTTTAGGTGGAATTAGCACCTTTCCTATCTGAGAATATGCATGCTTTTAAAAATATCAGAACTCACATGAAAGAAAAGAGAAAAAAAAAATGTTTTTCAATCTCAGGAAAAAGAGGAAGAACAGCCTATATCCTACCTAGGAAGTAGCTGAGTCAACATGAAGATTTCAGCTTTCATATGATCATAGGGCATATTAATAATTTTCCTGATTTCTTGTTCTTATCTAATTTCTAGTTCTTTGAATATTTCCATAACCAAAATACAAACTCACTGCCATCGAGTCGATTCCTTCTCATAGTGACCTCTCCTTGGGTTTCTGAGGCGGTATCTCTACAGAAGTAGATTGCCTAGTCTTCCTTCTCTGAGGAGTGGCTGGTGGGTTTGAACTGTCAGCCTTCTGGTTAGCAGTCAAATGCCTTAGGCACTAAGATACCATAGAATTCTATTTATTCTGTATGTCCTCCTTCAAATATACTTATCTTTGGATCTAAGTATTATTCTATTCCAGATTGTTCTAGATACCTAGTGCTGCTCTGACAGGAATATATCACCAATGGGATGGCTTGAACAAACAGGAGTTTATTCTCTTACAGTTAGGAGGCTTTAAATGTGAGTTCAAAGTGCTAGGCTCTAGGGTCTGGGTGAAAGCCCCTCAACCTTGGGCTTCAGCTCTTCCTCCTGTTCCTAGCCCACTGAAGCTGGAAGCTTTTCTTCACTCAGTCAGCTGCTGGCTGCTGAGACTGACAAGCCCAAAGTTGACAAGTAAAAAGGTACAGTCCCAAAATTACCAAACCACATAGCAGGCCATTAATTCAAGTCCACTGAAAGTTCCAAGGTCAGCAGAGCATGGCAGGCTGCTGAACAACAACACAGCTGCATGCAGGGTTCAAGTGTGCCATAATGTAGAGACCATTCTCAAAGCTGTTTCTTATATATGTGAAGCAGACGATATACCCAAAGCAGCTACTCAGCTGCTCCAATTGATTCCACCATGGAGTTGATTCCCAGTCTCACCATGGGAAATAACTACATTCAGCTGCCCAGCCACTCAACCAGGCCCAGCCAAGTTGAAACATAAACTTAACCATCAAATAGATGAAAATTTTCTTTTAAATGAATGTGAATGTCTCTATCCAAAAATCTGAAAATTAAATAATGTAAGCATATTCCACTTCCACTATACATTCTAAATATAACTAGAATCCCATTAAGTGAATGGGAATATGTTATCCTTCCCTTGATACAAATTTATGAGATGGAAGGATTTGGCAAGCTGGCTATCAGAAATCAAATCACTAAGAAAGTTTGTTTTTGTTTGCAGTTATTATCCATTTTCTTTATGGATGTCTCCATCCTTTGTGTCTCCTCTTCTCTCTTCTCTCTTCTCTCTTCTGTCTCTCTCTCTCTCTCTCTCTCTCTCTCTCTCACACACACAACAAAACAACCTCCAGCTTCTTTTCCAACAATTCCTGAATGCTTCTGTTTCTGCAAATTGACCAGCATTTTCCCCATGTATTTAAGTTGACTGCTTACCAGAAGGCTGGTAGTTCAAACCTACCAGCCACTCCTCAGAAGGAAGGTTGGGCAATCTACTTCCGTAGTGATACTGCCTTGGAAACCCAAGCAGGGGTCGCTATGAGTCGGGTCCAACTCAACAGCACAAAACAACAACCAAAAAAAAAAAAAAACCTCACTGCTGTCAACTCAAATCCAACTCATAGCGACCCCTCCTTGGATTTCGGAGGCAGTATCCTAGCCCACCTCAATCTTTTAACTCCCTTTGAAAGGGAATTGACAGTGTCTAAAAACTTTGGGACCTCTGTTAGTGTCGTGGTAAGGCATTTGCCTGCTAACCACAAGTTCGGTGGTTCAAACCCACCAGCTACTCCACAGGAGGGGAAAGAAGAAGATGAGGCAATCTATTTGTAAAGGTTTATGGCCTTGGAAACCCAATGAGGGTCACTATGAGTCAGAATCTACTCGATGGCAATGAGTTTAAAGGCTTTAATGAAGGAGCTCTGGTGGTGCAATGGTTAAAACATTCAGCTGCTAACTAAAGGACAGTGTTTCAAACCCACCAGCCACTGCAGAAGAAAGATGAGGCAGTCTGCTTCTGTAAAGATTTACAGTTCTACTCTGTGCTATAGGGTTACTATCAGTCAGAATTGATTTGATGGCAGTGGATTTGGTTCTTGGTTTAAATTCTTTGAGAGGATACAGATGTGCAGCATCCAAAAGAAACCTCTCCCTCAGATCCCCCCCCCCCATGCCAAGAAACAAAGGATTTGGGGGAGAATAAAGTTAAAGCAACATCAGATGTGAAGAAAGCTTGCCAGAAATAACAGTGAAGGATTGCTTTCTGAAAATATTTTTCTTATTTAAGCCTTTCAGGTTGCCCAAGAGCAAAGAAAAGTGGCATCAGGATAGCACAAAGCAAAGAAGACAAAGAAGATCAAGAGCCAATTAGGTATGAGTGCCCAATGAGACCAAAAAACGTAGGCAGCATGGCTGCCAGTGTGGGAAATTTTAAGAGATTAAATGATGCAAGGGAACATTGGTAAATGAAAGAAACCACGGTTAAGCATTCTTTGAGATTTCAGTAAACTGCATAAATAAAGGTAAATAAAGGTCACCACTAATTTGTCTCAAAAGCTCAAGCACATCTGATAATAGCACATTAAGCTAATAACCTTCAATATGTTGAGGGACTGTCTAATATTTAAGTAAGCAACATCACAGGAAACCTATACTGCTTAGTTTTATAAGCTGTTTAATTTACCAGGAAAATAAGTTTATGAAATTATAGGATGGTATTAAATATAACATTGAAAGTTAATACCTTACTTTTAACTTATAAAATTCACTTAATTATACTCTACCTTGTTCTAAAAAAGAAGCTGAGACAGATAGTCTATACTAAGCATCAATCATGTTGAAGAAGAATCATATCATCCCCCTGCTGCTCAAACCAGGGTATTTGCCCTCCTGCCCAAATACCTGATGAACCTGCATCTCAAAAAATAATATGATTAATACAGTGCTTCTGTCTTAAAATTTTAATGTCACTCAATTTCTTTGGGAAAAAAAATGATTAAACTAAAATTCAAAAAATTATTAAACTAAAAATTATTAAAATGAATTAGAACTTAGGAAAACAAATAGGTAACACAGATTCTAAAGAATGTAAACTTATAGCCATTCAAATATGCATAGCATACTCCACAAACTTTGGGTAGTACATTAAATTGCGTCTCTACATTCTTTGAGGTTCAATGAAAACATTGTTTGTTTGTTTTATTTTGTGTCCTCTGTCCTCAGTGATAGAAAAGTTTGGGAAACTCTGATAAGACTATTGTTGAACATTAGCTCTAGCCGATGATTTGTCCATTTATTCCAAAAAATTTACTAATCATGGACTCTGTGCCAACACTATTTTGACTTTAATTAAGTATTCTCTCTGCTGTTTAAAATCTTATGTAACAGGACAGGTATTTTGTTGCCTTCAGAGAGCACAGTTAGGCAAATAGATGATTTCAAGCTTTTAAGAAAAATACATGTTTATGAAATAGTCTTTTTTAAAATAATCCCACTACCCCTCATCAATTTTGCATTTTTCTACCATAAAAGCTATTATTCTGTCCAAAAAGAAAAAGGTATATTTAAACAGACACCTTTATTTCACTTGTTGCAACAATCTGATTTTCTTTTTCATACTCTAGAGTCAGTCATACAGCACAAAGCACAGAAATTTTGTTTCAGAAAAGCGTTCTATAAACTCTGTAATATTTCAGCCAGGAGGGAATATTTAATACTCCACTAGGTGGTGTCTTTTAGTGATTTTTTTTTTTTTTTTTTTTTTTGGTCTTTCTTTCTTTTTCTTAGTCAGTAGAGCATGATTGTTCTTTTTTTTCTTCATGTCAGGTTATTTTGACTTTGTTATAGAGGCTACCAGGTATATGATGGCAAGACAATAAAGTTTATCTCATCTATCTGCTATCCAGATGTCCAGTTCCTGGTTGTGATGGTCAGGGTCATATAACTGGAAAGTATGCATCCCACCGCAGTGCATCGGGGTGCCCCCTAGCAGCCAAAAGGCAAAAGGATGGGTACCTAAATGGCTCCCAGTTCTCCTGGAAGTCAGTGAAGACGGAAGGTATGTCATGTCCCACTCCAGGATGTGATGGATCAGGACACGTCAGTGGTAGTTTCCTCACACATCGTAGGTGAGTAATTACTCTATCGGTTGTTTTTCTGTTTTTTGACAGTTCTGCTGGGAATTATTTAACATGACTTGTTATGATGTGAATATTTTTCACCCTCTAATCCATCACCTTCGTTTAAGAGAAAAGATAAGACTGAAAACTATACCTAACTAATTAAGTTCTAAGGTTTAGGAAAAGATAATGATTTTTTTTTTTTTTAAATCACAAACTTCTTCAACCACATCAAACTGTTAGAACAAGAAAAACCAAACTCACTGCCATCAAGTTGGATCTGACTCATAGTGACCCCTCCTTGGGTTTCAAAGGCAGTATCACTATGGAAGTAGATTGCCCATCTTCCTTCCAAAGAGTGGCTGGTGGGTTTGAACCACCAGCCTTCTGGTTAGCAGTCAAGTGCCTTAGGTACTACACCTCCAGGACAGTGATTTACAATTAAAAAAAAAAAAATTATGACTCACAGAAGGAAATAAAGTTTAATGTTGTAGACATACACACATACACACAATTATCTGTATGTTTAATTTATCTGGGCAGGCCACACTCAGGACAAAAGGATGGCATTTGGCCCAGTAGCCTCATGTTGAATGCCTAAGCCAAAGATATATCAGGAAATTTTTAAAACAATCAGTTAATCTCATTGTTTTGTACTTATGTCATTTAAAAAGAAAAATAGGCAATTAAATTATTTAGAAGCCTGCTTTGCCAAATCAGTCTCATTGAAAAAGACTTAAGAACCTGTATAAGTAAAGCACAAGAGGCTAATAGATTATAGGAGGCTTTATGTCCTCCAATGTCATGAAAACCAGGTTGGGTAAGATATGTAGTAGAAAATTCAGAAATCTTACAAGAATGCAAACATCATGCCCTTGCATAAATATATTTTACAAGTATTCTATTTCTGCTTCTCTGTATAGTATTTTCTGTACAAATCACATAATGCATGTTGAATTTATTTGTAAAACCCTATTGAAAACAAAAGGAATCAAAAGTTCTTATGCATATCTAACAGAATATGTGATATTGAGCCTTAACATTTTAAGCAAGTTTTGTTTTTAATTACAAAAAAGGAATTCCTGCTCATGTAGAAAATTCAAACAGTATAAATGGACTTAAAGAGCAAAGTTATATTTCCTTTCCATACCCCAGTCTCTCAACTCACTTCCCAAAAGTAGTCAGTTCCTGTGTCTTTCAACAATTGCCTTTTGAATATAAAGCACACTCATCAGTATAGACACATTTGGACACACATCACACATACACATATACCACTCACCATATTTTCTTCCTATACAAATAGATCATAATGTATTGTATATCTCTACATTAGCACAAGAGCCTTGTTTACTTGTTCCAGGGCTTCAAACCATATTAAAATGATTCAGTAATTGCCATCCTAAGCAAGGGCCACTTTTGCATTGCACAGCAACCAAATTTGTTGCCTGTGGTATATTGATTGAGTAGGAAACAAACAGCTCTGCTTCTCTGAAAGATGGCAACCAACCATGCAGTTTGGAATGTGAGTTGCTCTCCAAAGTTCTGCCGATATTGTTGTTCTCCAAAAGTCCTGCCATAGTCCTTCTTCCTGAACGTTTCATGACCCTGGTATAGAAGACTGGATTATTGGCAAGACTCTGGAGGGCAACATAGTGTTGCTCATAGTGCAGCAATTAGCCATCATCTTTGAGCAGGACATAGCTATTTCCTACTCAGGTCAAAATACCATGGGCAACAGATTTGGTTGCTATGCAATGTGTATGTGATCTTTGTTTACAATAATAATTACTGAACCATTTTGAACTAGTTGGAAGTCCTGGTTTTTTTCACTATTATACACCAAAAAATATAGTTGCCTTCAAGTCAATTCCAACCCATGGCAACCTCATATGTGTCAGAGGAGAATTGTGCTCTACGGGGTTTTCAATGGCTGATTTTTCAGAAGTGGATCCCCAGGCTTTTCTTCTGATGTGCCTCTGGGTGGACTCAGACACCAACCTTCCAGTTAACAGCTGAGTGTGTTAACCATTTGCACCTCCCAGGGCCCAGCAAAAAGTACGCATTTATTCTTAGATGGATAAATCCTTCCATATTAACACTCAGAAAACTTCCTCATTCCTCTTCACAGTTACAGAGTATTCCATCATACATCCATGCCATTAGTCTCCTTTCCAAATTTCAATATTCAATATTATGAAGAACTCTCTCTCTCTCTCCCTTTCTCTCTCTATATATATATGTATAATCTTTTTGGAACTCATTTAGAGTTCATATATATAGACATCTCCAGGTCCTTGTGCAAGCACATCTTTAGGATATAGTCCTACAAGCAACATGCTAGTTTTTAAAATTTCAACAGTTAGTACCAAATTATCTTCCAAAAAGATCCTACTTCCCAAAATCTTAGGCTCTTACAAAAACTTTTAAAACTCTGCCCCATATGATATATGCATAATGGTATAAATGCTTTGCTAATCTGACAAATAGAATGAGTTACAATTATTTTTATATATATATTCATATCTTGGAGTAAAGAAAAAAATCTCACCATACGAGAATATTGGGAGCTCTGGTAGCGTAGTGCCTAAGGCACTTGACTGCTAGCCAGAAGGCTGGCGGTTCAAACCCACCAGCCACTCCTCAGAAGGAAGGTTGGGCAATCCTACTTCTGTAGTGATATTGCCTCAGAAACCCAAGAAGGGATCACTATTAGTAGGGTCTGACTCAATGGCATATAACAACAACAATACAAGAATATCAGCATCTGCATAAAGCTAAACACTCTGCAGAGGTCTCACCATTTAGGACAAGTATTCCTCTTGCTTAGATTTTATCCATTTGTTTTTATGAAATAAATATAAACTACCAGATATATATTATTTATTCCTATTTCAAAACCGTTGATTGAATTTACATATTAGGGTCAAGAGAACAAGCAATTGTCTGGAGCCTCCATTGTGCAGGTTATATTGCTTCAGGAAATTATTTCTCACTTTGCTTCAAAATGCTAACTTACCTAAATTTCTTAGTGCAGCTTGTTCAGGGGAATTGCATATCTTAAACACTATTCCAGAGGGAAGAGTTCTAGGAGCACTCGAGTCCCACAGATCAGACATCAGGGTCAGGAGAACTCACATGGGACTGCACTTTGCCCATCATTCCTTGGTGGTAAACTGAGTTCTCAAAGACTTTCCCCAATATTAAGTTCTCAACTCTACATGCCTCAATTCACTCTACTTGACACGCAGATGCTGAAAATGAGATTTATTAATGATTTGAGCCTGCCTATTCTTGGATTTGTGGCTCTCCCTTGCTTTCTTTTATCCTTGTTTTCTTTTATTTTTTATGGGGATGCATCTCACCGGGGTCTCTGACACAGACATGTGTTAGAATTTGTTCAAATGCACTCATCATTACATGCCTGATGGAATCTTGGGGAAGAGATCATATTTAGTGAAGAAAATCACAACTTACAGGCTCCTATTACTCACAATATATAATTGCATATGGGAGCTCTGGTACCATAGCGCCTAAGGCACTTGACTGCTAAGCAAAAGGCTGGTGGTTCAAAGCCACCAGCCACTCCTCAGAAGGAAGGCTGGGCAATCTACTTCCGTAGTGATACCGCCTCGGAAACCAAAGGAGGGGTCGCTATGAGTCGGGTCTGACTCGATGGCACATAACAACAACAACAACAACATTACTAACATAATGTGCTTTGCCTAGAACCTCTTCTTTCTAGAAATGTTCTGTTGTACTGCCCTTGTGGTCTGCAAACAGCTCATTCCCAGAGCTCTATTGGTTTATGCTCCATTTTGTTAGACAACTTACCTTCGCTACAGGGCTATTCAACTCCCTTGTTCACTGAATGGGGCCTAAAGAGCTAGTCTCCAAAATAATCATGTTCATTGCTGACACATGCTTCTAAGCATCTGCACCATCATCCTGTTTGTTGTGAAATGTTTCCGTTGCATCACATAGTCCTAGAATGAATGAAGTTCTTTATATATTTAATGTATTGAGAAGGAATATTTCTTCCCCAGTCCATTTTTGCTGGGACTAAGTGGTGTCTGAATAAAGACAGAGATTATATAAAAGAAAATAAAATGTTTTACTTTATCTTTAGGATTGGCTGGGCCTTGCTAAAAAAAGCAGTGTTCAAAATGAAAAATAGGTCATTCAAAACCAGATGCTTTCTCATATAAACTAGACAAATGTTTCTATTGAGACCTGCTACTGATACTCAGGGAGCTCTGGTAGTGTAGTGCCTAAGGCACTTGACTGTTAACCAGAAGGCTGGCAGTTCAAAGCCACCAGCCACTCCTCGGAAGGAAGATGGGGCAATCTACTTCCATGGTGATACTGCCTCGGCAACTAAAGGAGTGATCGCTATGAGTCGGGTCCGACTCCATGGCACATAACAACAACAACATCTGATACTCAAAAAATAGAAAAGACTACAGTTCCTTCTCCCCCTAATTATAGATGACATATTTTAAAAACACAAGCCCTTATGATAAATTCATTTCTGTTATTTCTTGAGTGTTTGAACAATTATTCCCACAAGGAGGCTTCTTCCTAAGAATAATTGTCAGAGTCAGTCACACCTGAACCAGTAGCAACAATGAGTTATCTACCAAGGGCTGAGCTGCGGGGGTGGGGGGGGGGTGGCAGGGAGTTGCTTTGTGTCCTAAGGACCAATTCAGGTTCCTGTTATCTTTTGAATGGATATAATTATAGAAGCAACTAAGTTGAGATTTCCAGGATCAAATATAAAAGGCTTATCCTTTCCAGAAATGGACCAAACCACAGACAAATCAAATCACAAAGCCTTGAAAGCAAGAGTCACCACTTAGGAACTAAACTCAAAATCATTTGGAGAAAAAAAAGTGGGGGGAGGACCAGGTGTGCTGGTTTGATAGAGCCTGGTGGAACCACTGAGACTATGGCCTCTAACTACTCTTCAGGTCTGGAATTGAACCCACATCTGTGGTTTCCAGCCAAAC